CTCAAGTTTCTGCCCGAACCTTTGGCTCGCATAATCGAAGCCGTCCTGAAGTTCATCCCGCGTTTATCATCTCTCTTCGCAGGTAGAGAAAAACGCTCTTTGGAGAGTCGCGAAGCCAAATTGGCACCTTTTCTGGATTTGGTTTTAAGGAATCTTTACATTAACTTTGACGCATTCGCATCGCACAGCAAATTCAGCCGAGCTCTCCCGGCCATCGGGAATCATCTGATGGAAATCTTGCAAATACCAAGCGAGAATGTTCAGAAGATTTTAGAAATCTTTAGGGAAAATTTGGCTGAGGTTGTCGAGCACGTCAACGCGGATTTCGGCTTTAAACTGTTGGAATACCAAGACGGTGTTTTTAATGTGAATCGAGAATTCGCTGAAAACATGTTGATTTTATTAAGTAACAGCGTTTATCAACATCTGGAAAGCTTTGAGCCTGGTTTGTTGAAGGTTCTGAAGGGTTACGACGTGGAGAGACGCGGGAAATTCGTTATCGATCGTTTGGACGGTTTGCGAATTTAAGTTTAGTTTTTTTTCGTTCTAGTGTAAATAAAGGCGTAGTCGTAGTCATTTTCGCAACTCGTTTTTGATTCTTTGACCTTCCGCGACCCGCCCATCGCTATCGATGCGATTACTTATTGTTAATTGCTCAAATTAACGCCGTTGTGATTGAATTTGTGTTAATAAATCATTAGATCCTCGATTTATGATCGTCTTTTTGTTTTAGCTACTTGATTAATTTTCTAAATTTTTTATCGTTTAATTATTATATTTGTTGCACAGAAATATAACTACAATTGCAATAGATACATTTGCTTCTTACTTTTTTATTGATTAAACTATATAAATGTTTCTAAAAATTGTTGTTGGCAATGAGTGGTAGAGCTCTGAAGGCGAGTTGCTGTTCGTAATTGGGGAAGATCTTGTTGATGAGACCACCGATCATCGCTCCAGCCGTGAGCAACATATCCTTCAAGTATCCCTCGGTCAATTTGTTGAGCGATATCGTGATGGAATTCAAGAACTTCTTCAGAGTTTTGTTGATGGAAGTGGTGAGTTTCTGGAAGAATGTCAACTCTTTGATCTCTTCAACCTCCCTGCTCATCCGCTTCAACGCGACATCGTCGGTGATGGCTCTGTCCAAGAATGTATCCACGATTTTGACTATGGAATTCAAGAGTTTCTCAATTTGCAAGACGGCTACGTTGACGGTGCTCGCGTAGACACTCTCGAAGAAGTCCTCCGGTTCACCATCTCTGTACAAAGATTTCGCAGCCGAAATGGCCTCTTCTGCGGATCTGTGCACGATGTCCTTCATGGAAACAGCCAAAGTTGAGACTGCTTCTTTCAACGGTTTCAAGATTTGCTCCAAAACTGTCGCGTTTTGTTGCACGAGCGCTGCTTTGGTTTCCAGCGCGAAGACTTTCGGACGCACCAGGATTTGCGCTAAGATTCTATCTAAAGGAATGCTTGTAGCCAACACCTGCTTCTTGATTTCCGGATAGAAAGTGCTGTTCTTGAAGTCCACGTACTTCCTAACCACGTACCCGAGGATCTTATGATGCGCAAAGAACTTGGCTACTTGCAATTCCTTCACCTTCGTGGTGATCTCATTGAAGGCGTCCAAATTCACCTGCAACTTATCGCCTTCGATGTACAGCAGGTCGCATTCGAACAGATTGTTAGCGCTCTCGATAACGTCCAGAATATTCCCATTGCTGTTGGCTACCAATTCACCAACGTCAACTAAAGAAGTGTTGTAGCTGCTCAAGATTATATCCAGCAAATTGGAGTTTATCGATGGCAAATTGAACATGCTCAGTTTGTCGTTGATGTAGCCGAAATCGAAGTTGAAATTCTCGAATTTCGTTTTTATCGCCGCGATGATTCGATCTCTAATCGCTTCATTATTTGTAAAAGCGCTCGTCGAAACCTACAATTAATTAACTTTTGAAAAACTATTTGTGAAAATGGTTTTTGAAGTAGACTTACCGCGCACAGGGTGAAAACGCAGAACAGTTTCAAGTGCATCGTGTCTGTGGAACAAAGCTAATGATGACTGGAGATGAATTCTCCGGATGGAAATTGAAATTTATTCGTTATCTCGTTTCGAGGAAATCCTCCGGTAAATATTTTTTTCGGCCAGGGTAATTTCTTTCTTAATGCACGCGCAAACAATGAATATCCATGAAAAAATTGTGTCAAAACGTCGTCCTTGAGTCACGACAATGTTAATATTTGAGATCAGCTTCAGGATAACAATTTTTCACTGTGAATTCAAGCTCCTTTTTTTTTTCTATTCTGTCTAAAATCTAGAATTTATTTATTCTATATAGCTTTAGTTTTTAAACACATTACACCAGCGGTCGGGGAACCGGGGTAAATTTCCCAAAATGGGGTAAAAATGAAATTTTTCTAATTTCATCTTACGAAACTCAGAAAGCGGTTCTCTGACTACTTTTCAGATTTTGATGTTCAAACTGTGGATTGGGTTGTAAATCCTTTTAAATGTGAAATTACTAACATACCAGAAGAACCTCCAGGTTAGGCAGAGGCAATTCTTGAAGTTCCATCCAATACTGTATTCAATTTGAGACCAAAACAAATCTTGTCGTCTTTTTGGTTGTCAAAGGCTGAAAAGGCTTTCAAAATTACACATGAGGAGGCGGTAAAAAAATTGCTGCCATTTTCAACAACCTACCTTTGTGAACAAGGCTTTTCCACTCTAATGAACATAAAAAACGAAAAACAGAAATCGATTAAACGCCGAAGACTGTATTCAAATTGCTCTTACATCAAAAAGTCCCAATTTTGAAGTAATTATATCAAACATGAAGCAACATCATGTTTCCAAAACCTGAAGGTGGAAAGTTTTCAATTAATTTTTGTTTGTTCGAATTTAAGAATTTTATTTTGTTTATCTATTACTATTTGTTACTATTTTCATGTAACTTTTTTTTTAATAAATATGTAAATGTAAATTAATTCAATAAATAATGTTTATTTAAAATTTACATTGATTGTTTCATGAATTCAGAATGGTTGGGGTAATGGTTAAAAAAGTTCCCCGACCGCTGCATTACACCAATCAATGCTGTTATTATTAAAATATAGAACTTAATAATTTGACTCAACAGTGAAGAACATATTTCATATTGTAATAAATTGGACACAACACATCCAAAGTAACAAGAATGCTTTTGGTTGTTTATCATATAAAGTTACTGTTAAGTTTAAATAATGACATTGTATGATTATATCGATTATGATTTGTATGTCTTTCAGGTAGATTCGATTCTTCGCGCCAACGAGTACAATCACGAGTTCTCTTCGGGGACGACGTCGGTGAAGTCTTACGATTCGAATCAACTAGCATCTAATAACCCCATCGAGGACACTCGCTCGGAAGCTAGCTGCCTGCTGACCACCGGTAACGTACACGCTGTCTGTCTTGTTTTTGATGTTCTGATTGGTCTGTTTTGTCCAAAAAGGTTTACTTGTGGGCGTGTTCGATGGACACGGAGGCGGAGCTTGCGCGCAGGTCATCGCCAAGAGGTTGTTCCATTACATCACCGCCTGCCTCCTGCCGCCGGACAGCCTGAAACAATACTCGGCTTCGTTGCAGACCCCATCGCCGCTGGACCTGATCAAATCCTACAACGACAAAGTGCAATTCGTCGACGACGTCAGGGACATTTATAGGAATAGTTTTTTACAGTTTTTGCGCGACCTGAATGATGTGAGTTTTCACCAATCTTGTTATTATTATCAAAGTATTTCTACAAGTACTTGACGAAAAAACTGGGTTTGGTTTCAGTTGAACGACAAGAAGAATTTCGAAATGCATCGAGCCTTGGAGGACGCCTTCCTGCGGTTGGACAACGATTTGTCGCGTGAGGCGTTACCTAAGGATGATGGAAAGGTCAACATGAAGACGCTTTCCGTGGCTATGACTGGATCGGTGGGTTGCGTGGCTCACATAGATGGTGCTCACATGCACGTCGCCAATGTAGGAGATTGCAACGCCGTTCTAGGTAATTTACTTGATGGTTTTAATCTTGTCGATGTTAATGTGGTTTTTTGTTATGGTAGGTGTTAGAACTGATACGAATTCGTGGATCGCCAAGAAGTTGACGTTGGAGCACAACACGTTCAATCAGGCGGAGGTGGATCGCATCGTGAAGGAGCATCCGCACAACGAGAGCAACACGGTGATCAAGATGGAAAGGTTGCTCGGTCAGTTGGCACCTCTTCGCGCTCTAGGCGACTTCAGGTACAAGTGGAGCAAAGAGATCATGTCTTCGATAGTCACCAAATACTTCGGGGATCAGATGGTGCCACCGAACTACTACACCCCGCCCTACCTCACCGGTAAACCGGATGTGATCTACCATAGGTTGACGCCGCGCGATAAGTTCCTGGTGCTCGCCACGGACGGCCTCTGGGACATCATATCACCGTTGCAAGTAGTCCGACTGGTGGGTGAGCACATGAGCGGTAAAGTCACGCTCAGTCCTCTGAAGTTGCCCAGGAAGAACATGAAGCTGTGGGAGATCAACGAGATGCTGCTGCAGCGCAAGGAAGGTCTCAAAACGAAACCCAAAGACACGAACGCCGCCACCCATCTGATCAGGAACGCTCTGGGCGGAACGGAGTACGGGATAGATCACGGGAAGTTGTCGCAACTGCTCAGTCTTCCTGATGACGTGGTGCGCGTCTTCAGAGATGATATAACCATCACCGTCATCTACTTCGATTCGGAATTTCTGAGGCACTGTCCCGTCTGATCCGTTTTCTTTCAATATATATATATGCAGCTTCAATTTGGTTTCCGATCGCCTTTGTATATATATTTTTTATGTATAAATTTACGTTAATTCATGTATTCACTAGTTCAATTCGACACAATGAAGAAACAAAAGGAAAAAATTGGAGAGATAAACTTGGCAGTATTTAATTTATTGTTTGTTTGTTTCGCGCTGCTCCTATACTATACTACTATTATTATATATATATACGATTTATTATATAAGTTCAAACCAAATTGTACATTACCTGTTTATAACGAAAACGTACATACTCAATATAAAGAGAATTATATTATTTTCCACTTAGATTCACATTTACAATTCCCAATCTCCTTATCATACCATCATTCATTGATAAATTCAAACCATTAAGTGAAGATCAAGACATTCCATTATTTAGTTAATACAAACAAAAGAAGCAATCTTCGATATTGATTGATGAATATAACAAACATTTGTTTTTTTGAAATTTCTTTGTTTTCTCTTCAATTGTTTACTTTTTCATTTACGATTAATGCAAGTGCATGGATTGCGTGAAGAACACGAGGTGATCAGGCAAGAAAACAATGAACAATTCAATCTTTGTGCTTACATTTGACCTCTCAGGGTCAAAAGATTTAAGCTATTTATACATCGCAGCAATCGCTATATACTTGATTTAAATCAATTAAAATAATTAACACTAATGATTTGAAAAGTATGCACTTTTGTTGTAATGCACAAAAAAACGAAAACTATATTGTAAATTTTAAACAAATTTAATAGTTTTCTTTGTCTATATTCAAATTGTTTGTTATTTTTGTTATAATAGAGTAAACATAGCTCTTATCCAATAAAATTAGAACTGAAATTAGGTAATTTAAATGAATAATTTAGTTAATAATTATTTCTAATTAAAACTTTCAATCAGCGCAAAAAATCATTGAACTACAAGCTTTGAAGAAGAATCAATAAATGTCACTCAAAATAAATAAGATTTATTAAAATGCGTTAGAAGTTTGAACGTTTAATAACTATAACCAATTACTAAATCTTAATTGCAAACTAAATATGTTATTGGTGGATGTACAGGAGGAAACAAAGAAATAAAATTGTAATAAAATAAGTTTATGTTACATTGTACACTTTTCTTTGTCTATATTCAAATAGTTTGTTATTTTTGTTATAATAGAGTAAACATTAGCTCTTATCCAATAAAATTAGAACTCAAATTAGGTAATTTAAATGAATAATTTAGTTAATAATTATTTCCAATTAAAATTTTCAATCAACAAGCTTTGAGGAAGAATCAATAGATGTCACTCAAAATAAATGAGATTTATTTAAATGCGTCTTGATATTTTATAACTATATAGTGGTAATTTCATTATCATTGAAACAAAGAAATAAAATTGTAATAAAATAAGTTTATGTTACATTGTACACTTTATTAACTTATCGAATTATATATTGTAAAAGGCCTTAACATTAATGATAGCATCGAAATGCTATACTTAATAAACTGGAGTTGGTTTTTGTGTCATCAGGATGCCGAACCTCTGTTTGACTGTTATCCTTTCCCTGGAGTATTTGTCTTCAGGCGAGAAACGAGCTAAAAATTAACACAACAGATTAACATTGAAATCTCAGATAATTGTTTACACAATGTGTTTTACCTGGATGAGCTGAGGAAGTGGGATTACCTGCTGGATCAACCTTCTACAAAAACATAAGAAAATAGCATTAACATTTATAATACACAATTAAAATCAAGTGATCCACAATGCTTGTTTCCATAAACATAACCTCAAAAACTTAAAGTGAACTATAAACTGAGCGTTAACTTACCTTCAGCGTGTACACGCGTTTGCCTTCTTCGTTCAAGTAATACATGAGATACATTTTGTGTAAAGTTTAGGGGTTTCCCACAAATATTCTTTTTTAAAAAAGAAAGCACGTGGTGCACTAGACGAGATCAAAACAACGAATACACGAAAATTCCAAATGTAGCAGCGACCTCGTGTGGACAAAGATCTGACTTGTAAATTATATACCTCTGAGCGTTCCTGCTCTCCTGCTGCTGCATTTTAAAATTTATCATCCTAAGCAATTTCAAAACGAAAAACATTTTAAAGTTTTCTCTCTTTATTAATTAAAATCGATGATTTATTTATTTTTTAAAAAAAGGGTCTTCCTGTTTGATTTTAAACAGCAGAGTTTTGGTGTATATTTGGTTGCATACAACACACTTTAAAATTTTATTTTACTTATTTGCTTTGCTCTATTAAATACATTTATAATTGTAATCTATTGATAAGAAAATATGTAGTTAAAATAATTTTATAATCAAGATATAGGTGATTAATTAGTAGATTTTTTGTTATTTGAAATTTGTTAAAAATCTCTTTAGAATTTACTGAATAACACGAAAACTTTTTATTTATTTTACAATTATATGAAAATAAGTCATTTATTACGCATCTTTTAATATAAGTACGATTACGTAATGTTAATTAATGAGTGAGATATGATGGATTTTCAATTTATTTTTCAGCTTCGACGTTTTATTTAATTACTCGATAACTACGTTTGTTAATTTCATTACAAAAGACGCAAATTAAACATAAAAGTATGACAATTTAGATGAGCTTACTGGTAGATCTGTGTTTTTCACCATTTTCCTGTAATAAGTTATCATTTTTCATCTAATTATAACAGATTTACTTAATAAAATTCTTCTAGAACAAACCTGATTATTCAGTTATGAATTAGATATGTTGAAAGTTGTTATTAAATTAATTATGATTTGTGAAGTTTTTTTTTTCTGTTTCTTCTAGTTGTTGCTGTGATATAATGAATGTAGTTGCGTAATGATCGAAACTTTTCTTCGCCCAAATTGCTTCGTAATTCGATATAAATTGTGGACGGAGTGTAAACCAAGGAAACAGAATGATTGTTCTGATCTTTGCGATTGGCAGCGTTTCCGCTGGAATTCCGCTTCCTAACGATACGCGAACCGAAGACTTCAGAACGGCGATCCACGAAAAACCGCAAATAAGATGGATGGATTTGATTCTGTGCGATCTGAGCGAAAACAGGAACGGACCTTTTCCACTGAACGTGCTTATCGATGAGGTGAGCAAAGTGATGGACGCTCCAACGTCCGTTCAGTATTTCAGCAAGAACTGCGAGGCTTTAGCAAAGTCGAGGGTGAAGCAGAGATTCGAGTTCGTGAAAGTGTCGAATATCCGAGCTGTTAATTCCGTGCTGGAGAGTTGCAACAAGAGCAGAAGTACGACGCGATTTCGGAGGTACGTCTTGATGATCGATCAATTCTTGCGTGAAGATTTCACAGGTATTAAACCGGCGTTTCGTAAACTGTGGAATTGTCACATTTGGAACAGCAACATCTTCTTTATTTACAATAGAACCGTGCACGATATTATTTACAACCCGTTCTTGGATAAGGTCATCGCGTTGGCGTCCAGTAAAGAGGTGATGAATCAGTACGATAAATTTAAGAATCTCCACAAGTATAGCATTCGCGTTTCGATGATGAGCGATTATCCAAGAAGTGTTTACAACGATGGCGTCTATAACGGTAACTACATCAAGATTTTGCGCGACATTGGGAAGATCATCAACGCGAATTTCATCATTCGCCCTGAGAAATCCTTTAACACGTCTATTCTTAGCGTGAAGAGCGGCGAATCCGAGTTCTGCTTCATCGGACAATTCTATGGTATTTACGATAACGTCAAGTACACTGAACCGTTCAAGAGAGATGATATAATGCTTCTGGTGCCGAGCGCTAAAGAAGTGCCGCAGTTCATGAAGTTCGTCCTGATCTTCAGCCCAAAATCCTGGTGCCTCATCCTCACTTTAGCCATCGTCTTCGCCTTAACCTTCTTGCTCATAGAGCGTAGATCTCCCATATACTTAGCCTTCAACGTCTTCGCCGTATTAATAAACGCAAACGGCGTTGTTAAATTCCAAAGATTCAAGCTGCTCTCACGAATGTTCCTCATCGGTTTAACGTTCTACTCGATGATCATAGCAAACGTCTTTTCATCAGCGATTCTGGGCAACATGTTTTCTAAAACGTACTACCCCGAACTGAACAGCTTGAAAGATATCAAGGCTTCGAACGTGTCCATCTGCACCATCACCGAAATCGTCCACATGATCCCGGACGAATTCAAAGAGCAATTGGTTGTATTGTCCAGGTACGATTTTCTGTACAGCGTCGACAAAATGAACAAATCTTGCGCCTTCGCCATGATGCGAAGCTACGCCGAGAGTTACGTGAGGAACTTCATCAAAGCGCACGGGAAGAGCTGTTACCACATCATGACGGAGAGTTTCGTGCCAGGATTCGAGTCGTTCATGTTCCAGAAGTCCTCGCCGTACATCTACAAGATCAACGAACTGCTGAAGAGCATCGAAGAAAGTGGTTTGTTCCTCTACAACGAGAGAAACATCAAAGACAAATCCGATCATCCCATAACTTCAGTCGCCGAATTTACCACCCTCAATTTGTACCACTTAAGCCCAGTCGTAGCCATACTCTTCGCCGGATACACTCTCAGCATAATAGTCTTCATTTTAGAGCACACAATCCACAAATTCAAATAATTAAAATTTCATAAAATTGATGATTGTAAATGTTGTATTTGTGGAGAAATTTATTGAAATATGAAGACGCGTTTTCATGATTGTAAGTATTGTAATTACGAAGAAATTGTATCAATTTTGAGAATTAATTACAGGAAAACTAATTGGGACACAATTATAACAATACACTTCTTTTATTCTTTATACTTTTAGCTTTAATAATCATTTTCATATATGATTGTAGATGTTGTGGTTGTGGAGAAATTTATTTAAATATGAAGACGCGTTTTTATGAAACAATGATTGTATGTATTGTAATTACGAAGAAATTGTATCAATTTTGAGAATTAATTACAGGAAAACTAATTGGAACACAATTATAACAATGCACTTCTTTTATTCTTTATACTTTTAGCTTTAATAATCATCTGCATATATGATTGTAAATCTTGTGGTTGTGGAGAAATTTATTGAAATATGAAGTCGCGTTTTTAAGAAACTATGATTGTAAGTATTGTAATTACGAAGAAATTGTATCAATTTTTACTCGATTGATGTCAATTTTGAGAATTAATTACAGGAAAACTAATTGGAACACAATTATAACAATACACTTGTTTTATTCTCTATACTTTTAGCTTTAATAATCATCTTCATATATGATTGTAAATGTTATGGTTGTGGAGAAATTTATTGAAATATGAAGACACGTTTTTAAGAAACTATGATTGTATGTATTGTAATTACGAAGAAATTGTATCAATTTTTACTCGATTGATATCAAGTTTGAGAATTAATTACAGGAAAGCTAATTGGGTCACAATTATAACAATACACTCGTTTTATTCTTTATACTTTTAGCTTTAATAATCATCTTCATATATGATTGTAAATCTTGTATTTGTGGAGAAATTTATTTAAATATGAAGACGCGTTTTTAAGAAACTATGATTGTATGTATTGTAATTACGAAGAAATTGTTTTAATTTTTACTCGATTGATATCAATTTTGAGAATTAATTACA